CTGGAAAGAGAAAAGACTCTGGATCACCAGTGTCATTGTAAATGGCAGATCTACAGCTCAGTCAGGATGAAGAACACATTACATGTGTAAAACGTTTATGTGGCTTATATTCTAGAAAATTTATTAGATCCTCTTGAGTTGATTTTGGTTACTAGTTATTTGGTAAATGCTTTTAAATAAAGTGTTTACATCATAAATGTGATGTGATATAGATGGAGTAAACAAAAATATAACACACTGTGACGTACTGTATGTGTGATTACTGATATAGTTTCCATTTTAATTTTCATACAACAGATGCTCAGATCTTTGTTTCTTCTTGAAGAGGTTTATTTTGAGACAGCAAACAGCTAACTGTACATTTTCCCCGCTTTATCCCACATTAGTAGAGAATTAAATATTTAAATATTGATTTCAAACAATTTTATAATTTTATATATTATCCTAAAACCACTAAGAAAAAAAAGTTGTCCATTACAATGAATAAAAGAATTGCCCGATAGCAAGAAGACATTTTCACTGTAAGGGACAAGAAGTTATTTTCACTGCAGTCAATGACTGTCACCAGTTCTGTTTATATAAAACAATTGATCAGGGGTGTGATAATAGAGACATGAATTTAGAGTCAGCTTCAGTTCCCCCAAAAAGTGGTCTGATATACAATGTGGCCATTATTAAGAAAAGTCAGACCACTGAATACCACGATAGTCCAATCAGAATTAGGGTGTACCAGATAGGCTAGGTGAATAAAATGATCCACAATTTGCCTACATGGTTACGTTACAGACAGCTATTATTAGTGATAGACATGTGTGGGTCTACAGCTGGCAAGTGTTAATTTACAGACCAGAACAGCGCTCCATTCAGAGGCTATTGTATTTTCCCTGTGTGTCCTTGTGACTCATGGCAACGGAGATGCTGTCATTTGTCTCCCTTGTTGTTAGTCTGTGGGACGCAAGCATCTCCTTTGATTTTTCAACACAATGACTCATAAATAGCATATTAGCTTCAGCTGTGTCCTGCAAGACTGAGAAACACTGAGGCAGAGCAGGTTATTGTGTTACTGACACATGGAGCGGTAAGACGCACAAAGATACACACAATCAGCAGCAGTACAAGAAGGGATTCTTCTCAGTTGCATCCAAAGCTGCTGGATTACTGTGAAGTTTTTCACGCTAAATATACATACAGCCAGAAATAAACTGCTACTTGCCAATATACCTTTATAATCACAGTTGGAATAGTAATGTTCAGTTCACCAAAAACAAGAGGATAACTACGGAAAAATTAACTAGTGTTGTCTTGCCAATATATATCTTGTTCTTGTTTTGTTATGGTGGAGACAGGGGTTAGTTGTCACAGTTTTTATTTCAGTGAATATTTTTCAGGATATATTTTGTACTGCCCTGGAAAGAAGCATGCATTTACCTAAGTTGTGATTAATACATTTACATAAAATTACTCAATTACTCAAGTGCTATTATAAAAAATTACATTATTATACTTTTTTTTATTGCATTTCTAATTTAAGAGTATTTTGAGCTAAGTGAAGCTAACTATGGCAAGATGTAAAAATGTATTTTATAAAATGTTATTATGTATTTTTATCCCTAACTAAACCAATGTGCATTCATTAATATTAAAAGTCCGATTTCTTCTGAAGAAAAATCCTAAGGAAGATCAGACCAGTCACATAGACAGGGCTGAAACGCCATCTAATGACCAAAAGTGTCTGTAACAGTCAGACTAGTATCCTATGTAGGAAATAATATAATATCATCATTTGAAACATGAAATGTTGACATTTAAAAATCTATTGAAATAAAGAGAGGTTTCAAAATCCAACACAGGAAGACAAGTCAGGGCAACATCCATTATCAGGTCGTTAGCTGTCCCTCTCATAGACAAAATCTAAAAAATGCCTGCTCATTCACATGTGGGCTAGTTGCTGAGCAACTCCCACCCAAGCCCAACCAAGCGCTCTATTTGCTTTCAGAAGAGCATCTCACATATCTGAAGAACAGTAGGACACTGATAGCATCAACAGCTTTGCTCTTTTTCATACAGTATTCTAAAAAAATCTATACTATTGTTTTGGCAAGTAACAGATCAAGATAACTTGCTTAGCAACAGGAAGGAGGAGAATTTACATTTGGGATCTTTTGGGATAAAACAGCAGCAGGTTGTGCAGCGGCGAAACAGAGGAGCACGAGGACTCTTACTGTTAATGTGAAGGTGTCCAGGTGAAGGACTTGGCTTGGTATGTAACTCAGGGGAATATGGCTGAATTTGGGGGGCAGATGGTGCAATGTGTGTGTGTGTGTGTGTGAGAGAGAGAGAGAGAGAGAGAGAGAGCTTGTGTGCATGTACAGTATGTATGTTAAGACTGTGAAAATACATAGGGCTTGTTCATATAAAGCACACTGTTTTAAAACAGTAATGGTGCTGAAATATTTTAGCTTGCTGCATTTTGCAGTGAATCAGCAAAAATCTGACTCACAGTCAAACTGACCCAAATGTCTAAGACCAACTGCAGAACCAGTTGAATGGATATTTCCAAGTAAAAAAATAACATATTTGAGATTTATAGGGCCTTGTATCCATGATTAATCTATCTTATGCTTTATGGAATATGGAATTCTCTGCCAAGAGCATAAATAAAGAAATATTGATCACCCGGCACACGTTATCAAATACGATAGCTTTGGCCTCATCTGACCTTTATAAACACATTAAAGTACCCTGCTCCTGGAGGGCCAACATCCTGCAGATTTTAGCTCCAACACAGTTGCCTAGAAGTTTCTAGTAAGTCTGAAGACCTTGATTAGCTGGTTAAGGGTGGAAGCCAAACTCTGCAGGACAGTGGCCCTCCTGGTACAGGTTTGGACACCCTTACATTAAAGTGTTCACTAGTGTTATTTTAGTATCATTTTATACTTTATAATTTTTGTCCATATTTTGAATTGTATTGTTATATTTTGTTTTCACTTTCATTTTAGATTTTTTTTGGTGATTTTGCATGTTTTTTTGTCATTTAAATTTTTTTATGTCTACATAGTTTTATTAATTTTTTATGTATTAGTTTTCGTTTTTTGGGGTGGGGGGGGTATTTTTTATTTTAGCACTTCAAGTTAAACTAAACGAAAATTATTATTATTATTATTATTATTTTTACATTTTATTTCATTTGTTAATGTTTATTTTATTTCAAGTAACGATTTTTAAAAATTATTTTAGTTTTCGCTCACACAAAATCTTAAATTATAGTAGTCCATTGCAGGGATTTTCAAACTGAGATCTGGGAATTTTCAGGGGGTTTCTAAGGTGATCCATGTCTTTTTCTCACAGAGTATAAAAAGCTCCTTATAGGCCTATATGAAAATACATAGAAACCTTTATGCTTGGGTGTTAAAAAGTTTGTAAACCCTTACTTCATTGTTAGAAAGACCGACAATGTAAAGGTAAGTCCTGATCACAACGCAGACATTCTCAAATATATAATTTAATGTAACACACACAGGCAGTGCCTTGCACAGGGGGGAGGGGGTTTCTCAAGCCCCTGCCCCTTTAATCGCCGATAAAGTGTCCTCTCGGTCCGAATCTAGAATTCGGTTAGTTGTGTGTGAATATCATGCAAATGTCAGTTTCATATAGTGCACAGGGCTCATCCTGACATCATTCTTGATCTTGCTCTCTAGCGCCATCCTCCCTTTGCAGGACGCTGAAGGAACTGGCAGGGTTTGTTCACTCTGCAGTTGGACAGACAATAACTCAGTGTGCCACAGAGGTAAGTCAAACCGGTTTACAAACTCAGAGACTTGTTTAACAGCGATTTATCATTAATCAAGCAATAAGCGATGCTCCTAAGCCTTACCACGGTTTTTACCTCTGCGATAAGTGTAATTGGTCCTAGGATGTTAGTGAATCCGACTGTTGGGTGTGTGACTGAGACATAATGGGCCTGATTTTCTTTATAGATTGATAAAAAAGAGAAAGAAAAATTCATTTCACCGAGATTGCATCGATAAGAAGAACTGCACATAAATCGGACTGCTTTCTTAATGCATTCGCATCTACCGAGAGTTATTTTCATGGATGCACAATATGGGCAATAATCATTTAAAGAACATTCCATTCCATTATGTTTGTCTTTTTGCATGGCATGCAGGAATTTCATGAAATATCGAGGCAGTGTGGCGACAGACGCAGGCTTCACGTGCACGCGGTTTGCTGGTGTGGAAAAACCTAGAAGTATTTAGACTGATGGAGCATAACGTGGCTCACACCAGTGTGTTAAATCAGTCTGGATGAAAGGTGCCAGTTCCCCAACACACACACATTTCTGTTGTGGTCATAACGAATGACAAATCGATAATCGGTTTTTTTTGCGGCTTTGCACGTGGACCTGATCCGTCTGAAAGCGATAAACGGACTCGACGCGTCGCTGATCCTCCGGTGTAAGGGGATTTTCGCAGTTTTGCTCTCGGTTGAAAATGGTGCTGATGTTGCATGTGGATGTTTTGCCATGGTTACACAAATCGCTATAGGTTCTCTTTTATCTGTAGATTTAACGTGAGTTTAAAGCGTACGCCTTTTTCAAAGAATTCCTCTTTTCTTTTTTCCTGTGTTCAGCTTATTGAGGATGCTGACCTTTGTAACACCACATGTAACACCTTTGTCTGGGCGACTCTGCAAATAAAACAGTATTGTATGAAAAACATTTTCATAATGTGATATTGCACACAAATACTTTCAATGGCCTAATGGGAAATAGAAGCAACAAGCCTGAATCATAACATTTAATCCATTTTCCCATTTGCATTTTTGTTGCTTCAGTTTATATGTAATCTGACCGTTAAACTACATAAAACTCGCTGTTTTTTTTCTGTTTTATGATTTGTATGAGAATACAAGGATGTATAGACTTAATTCTGCATTTTCAAGGCAGCGGACACACCTTGCTCCCCCGCCCTCCCCGTCTCTCTCTCTCGCTCTCTCTCTCTCTCTCTCTCTCTCTCATCACGGCTGTTGCTTGGCCACCCTCTCGTCATCCTCGCCCATTGTTCGCTTCGTAAGTACAATTTCTTTTTGAAAATAACAATTATAAATTCGAAAATCTTGACTGTACGGAACGTTGAACGTAAAGGTCGACTTGCACGTCCGCATCATTCTCACTTCCTCCCCCACGCCCATCTCTGCTTAACCTGCCTTCAGCCCAACGGTACTGTCGCCGTCGTATCGATTATGTATGTAGTCTTTCATTTTTCTAATATTTAAAGATCACGAAATGACATTTGCGGTTGGTATTTCAGCATGGCTTTATAGCAGTGAACGTAGTGGCTCTTTTTGGAGGAAAGGTTCGTTTCATCGATATGTAACTGTCGGTTGGTATTCTGCAATAGGTTTTTGTCAGTGCCTTTCTGTGCATATCATAAACACGTATCTGAGGCAATGTTATTAGATTTTAGAAAAAGGTGAATTCTCCTAATGGAGGGTATTAATAATATGGTCACAGAGTGCAAATATCAAATATCCGAACAAAAATATACAGCAAGGGATGTACAAAAATAACTGAGGAGATTAACTTAGTCCTCCTTACTAGTTTTGAACAGATTTACAAAACTACATTCCAGTAAAGCTGACAAACATTATTCAAATTTCTAGGTCCACCCAATTTTTTTATTTTTATTTTTTCCAGAACTGAATTTAATAGGCTACTCCTCAGGTCGTAGATGCCGTCTGCTGTCTGCTATCTATAAAATAAAAGCCAAAAAAAAGTTAATTAAAACAAAGTATAGGCGGAGGAGGTTGCTTTTGCATACTTAAAATATGCATGCAGAATCTACTGAAAGACAGTTCCCCCTTAATAAGACTTATTGTTAAGAAGTATTATTCTAAAAGTAGATCCCACCGTCAGACAGAACCAGAGTGCTTTCTGTCCAGTTATGCCTGCCTATCATAATCTAATTAACCATGGCAATTAAGGAGACCCATGGAACATTAGGTAAATCTTGATTCCATTTACAGACCATGCAATGAAGTGTGTGTTCCTCTTGTCAGACAACAGCCTGTTACTTGCTTCAGTTTCTCACTGTTAGTCATTTATAGCTTCAGAATAGAGGAGGATTGGCTTGTTTCAAACTGCATTTCTCTTTTCATTTAGAAAAATATTTCTGAACATTGCTTGTTATAAGGACTGCTTCATAATTTAGCTTAGTTCATTAAAAAGTCATAATGATTATTCATTTAATCAATATTGTCAATGAATTATATTACAGTATGTAGTAATAGAGTCATATGTTTCAGACTATATGTTGTCAGAGGGTTTCCACAAGGGGGATGTGAGCATTAGGGTTCACTTTAATTTTATTAGAAGAACCATTGTCGCCCAGTCATATCTCAGGAACGTCCGGGGATACGATAGATACATTAAATCAGATTCAACAAGTCTTGAAGACAGCAAGACAGTGTCTCTCTGGTCTGGTAGGCCAGATCCCATGCAGTGTGCACTGCAGTCCTGAACTCCCTGATGCACCATGGCAACAGATGACTAACTTGCTGTGTGCAGCGGCTGGAGATCACAAAAATGTGTCTTGCACACACACGCAAGCTGATTTCATGGTGTTTATACATCTTATATTCTCAATATTGAAGCCAGTTGAGTAGTTTATGATGTCTGTGCCTCACAGCTATCTGCATCCGCACACATTTTGTGGTGGATGTATATCACCAGACTGACATTTTCCTCTTCATGCCAGCATCTGTACAACACATGTTCACGTAAATGCCAACCGTCCTTTTCGGGGACTGAATATTTTCATATGCCAAGTGGATCATTCTGTTATCAGCAGCGACTTTGTCTGGCAGCATGAGCATTATTTCATGTCAGCCAGAGACCGCGCGCACAAACACATTGACTGCTCCGCCAGTTGGTTCATTTAATGTGCAGATTCAGTTCAGTGAGGTGTGATCTGAACTCTTGTGGAGTCTGGGCAAGACTTGGGCTGTGGGTCTAGACCACATGGCAGATGGGAAGGTTGCGTCTTATTCATTTAATCAATATGGTCAATGAATTATATTACAGTATGTAGTAATAGAGTCATATGTTTCAGACTATATGTTGTCAGAGGGTTTCCACAAGGGGGATGTGAGCATTAGGGTTCACTTTAATTTTATTAGAAGAACCATTGTCGCCCAGTCATATCTCAGGAACGTCCGGGGATACGATAGATACATTAAATCAGATTCAACAAGTCTTGAAGACAGCAAGACAGTGTCTCTCTGGTCTGGTAGGCCAGATCCCATGCAGTGTGCACTGCAGTCCTGAACTCCCTGATGCACCATGGCAACAGATGACTAACTTCCTGTGTGCAGCGGCTGGAGATCACAAAAATGTGTCTTGCACACACTCGCAAGCTGAGTTCATGGTGTTTATACATCTTATATTCTCTATATTGAAGCCAGTTGAATAGTTTATGATGGCTGTGCCTCACAGCTATCTGCATCCGCACACATTTTGTGGTGGATGTATATCACCAGACTGACATTTTCCTCTTCGTGCGAGCATCTATACAACACATTCACGTAAATGCCAACCATCCTTTTTGGAGAGTGAATATTTTCATATGCTAAGTGGATCATGCTGTTATCAGCAGCAACTTCATCTGGCAGCATGACCATTATTTCATGTCAGCTGCACAAACACATTGACTGCTCTGCCACTTGGTTCATTTATCGTGCAGATTCAGTTCAAGTGAGGTGTGATCGGAACTCTTGTGTCTGGGCTGGGGGTCTAGAGACCACATGGCAGATGGGACGGTTGCGTCTCTTGGTTAGATCAAGGACATCTCTGCTGTCGGAGCAGGTGTGACACGGGCAAATCACCACAGCACTGTTATAAATGAGGCTTTTAGTCTTCCTTGTAGTAATACATATTATTTACATTCTCTTTGAGAATATTCCTGATATTATTAGTCCTAATAATAATGTTCTGAACTCTTTTTTTTCCTTTACACTCTTAAAAATAAAGGTTCTTTATTGGCATCAGTGGTTCCATGAAGAACCTTTAACACCTTTTGCTACTTCTTTGTAATTATTTGCGAATTTTACTAGCAAAATTGCTTCAAAGTAATCCCTACACCAATTTTTTTTTCATATAACAAACCAACATTTAATTATTTATGAATTAGTCATTATTCATGGAAAGTCTCTGCCCTAGCGCACCTTGATGCTTTCATGGAACAGTGATGTCCAAATTGTGAACAAATCATTGTTTTAAATTCAAAGAATCAATTGATTTGCTCAAGAATCAGATCATTCTAGTTCTCACTAACTCAGTGATCCAGTCCCGCTGGATATCAGATCAATGGAGTGAAGAATAATATTGAATAACCACTTAAATTCAGTATCTCCCTCAAACAAAGCTATTGGCTTCTGAAGACATAGTGCAAGAGTTGTATGGACCACATTTATGATACGTTTATGGTACTTTTGGGGGGAATGTTGGAGCTGGACAGTCATGGTCCCCATTTACTTTCATCACAGTGAAAAGAGTGGCCAGAATATTCTTAAAATGTTCACCTGTTATGTTTCACTGAAGAAACAAATTCATACAGGTTTGAAATTGCATTTAATGACAGAAATTTTTGGGTGAACTATCATTTTAAACGCATAAGCATGATTTTGCATGTTTAGCAGTTAATTTTGCTGGCTGGTGCAAGCATGCTGCAATGCTTGAGAAAATACTGAACATTTTCTTGATTAAGATGCACCTGCCATGCATTTGGCAAATGGAGACATGCAGCCATCGCTCTCACTGATCTTGCTGCCCAGTGCTGGAGCTCTGCGGGAACAGACAGAGAGAGAGAATGAGATGGACTGAAGGGTGGAGACATGAGATGGAGAGATGGCTGCACACTTCTGAAGTGATGCTGCAATCTGCACTGCTAGCTGGGATGGACAAAACTAGGTCAGAGGCAGAGAGGCACCCAGCTGTGCACAGAAAGGGAAGCTAGCAGTGTTGCCCACCCTTCAACAACAACCAAAGCGCACACACAATAATTACCTTTCTACAAACTGTAAAAAATAGTCAACGATTTCACGCTGAGCTGCCCCTAGGAAGTAGTTTCACTTAAGTGGACTTGACTTGGGTGTTTGTTTTTGCTGCTGCATTGTTGCAGAGGCATTTCAGAACCATCTCTCGGACGCTTTGATTACACCATGCATAGGGCACTTATGTAATTGGTCTGTCTGGAAAACTCTGATAGAGACCCATAAATTTAGTGAAGAGAAATGCTGAGTTGGAGAGGACAGTCCGGTTAATTTAACCCTCAGAGCAGCTAAGGTATGAGTGTCTCTCTGGGCTGTTAAAGGGCACGGACAGGGTTGCCAACTTCAGAAAATGAAAATACGGGACAATCACCTTACGGGGGGTGTATTAGCATAACCGTGTATACGCAGTCACTCACCTCACCCACACACACACATATATATATAGTATGCATGAAAATGTGTATTTTTCAATTAAAGACAGCTAAGCACTGATTGCTGTGAGGTGGGAGCGATGAGCCAGCAGAGGATTGCGCAGCCTTCCTCGAACAGTTATGTTCACGATTTCTGATTTACTTATCAAAAAATGGGACAAGGGAAGTCATGTACGGGACAAATCAGTTAGGCCCAAAATACGGGACGTCCCGGCTAATACGGGACGGTTGGCAACCCTAGGCACGGATGATAAACAAGCTAGTATTTTGGTTATAGGGCAATGCCCAGACATGCCCTGTGTAAGGAATACCATCTCTAGACAATAGTCTAGACAATCATAGTTCATCTGCCTCCAGTCTGTTAACCTGGACGTGACAGATATTTTGACGTAGAGCCGACAGATTCCTCAAGATATGACCAACACATTACTAAACATTAGCATAACCAGGGTAATTAAAAGTCAGCATTAAATGCAGTTTGCAATCGAATTTACTTCCATAATGTATATTCAACCAATAAGCTGATAATTATTTTCATGTTATAGCCAATAACCAATATATGAACGATATTAAAATTCTACATTATTTTGTCTACATAAATTAAAAATTAAACCATAACAAGTAAAATTAGTCATTCACAACATGTACAAAATCAATTCATTTTGAGATTTTCTAAAAATTACATTTAACATTTTTAGCTATAAATTATAGTGTTTCCAATAATCCACCCAAAAATGAAAATTCTGTCATAATTTACTCATCCT